AAGGTTTGGTTGCTCGCTCACTATTTGACTTACTAATATGTTGGACTTGGAGTTTGTGACTCCATACTCATCGCTTCCACTGTGGCACAAGCTAAGGAAATTACAGACTGGAGACCTAGTCAGAAGTTACTCATTAAAACCAGGGACATACTGGGTACAGCAAACCCTTGAAACCAATGAAGCCATAAAAAGGACATTGGTCATCTGTCACTGAGTTACTTAACCTCTGTGGCCCTTAGTGTCCTCATCTGTAAATGTGAGGCTGATTAGGGTATTTTGTGTGTGCGTGGGGTTTCTGTTTAAAAAAATAAAAGAGGTGGTGTATGTGTGTTGTAACAGATATATACACACACCTATCATCCATGCTATGTATTAGAGACAGCTCTATAAGTCAATCAAGCCCTTTTGTAAAGTTGTAAACTAATAGCAAATAACAAGAACTATAAACATGTTTATGTTTTTGGCTCAGGAGTTCTACTTTTGAAAATACAGCCTAAAGAAATGATTCAAAACCTGAATAGAAAAGAATAGTTTTAATGACAGGGGGAAATAGTAAAACAATATACTTCAAGATATCAAAGGTGTCACCATTTGTATTATTGATGGGGCATTGTGTTGTTACCACATATTAACAATCCGGACTACATAAAAACTCTGGAAATATGCAAAACAAGATGGGAAGAGGGTACAAGGGTCTGCTGCAGTGCAGTCTGTTAGCTAAACATGCATGCAATGGGAACAAGGCTGGCAGGAAGCTCACACACGGGAGGAAGTCCTAGGAGTGAGGCCTTTTTCAAGCAGCTCCTACTTGAATGTTCTAGGTGACGGTAGCTTTGTGGTAGGTGTTAGGATCCTGCTCTCACTCTTCTGGGTCTAACGTCTTATGTCATCAGGGGGCACGGGCTACGTACCGCCTCATGGTCACACAGTCCCCACCTTAAAAAGCCGGACTCGGACAGCCACCCCTCTCTTCCTGTGTTTCCTCTCTCTGTTCCTGCTCTGTTCCCTCCGCCAGGCCTGGCTCCCTTCCTATCCCTTTACTTCTTTCTAATAAAGCTCTTTCTAACTCTGGTAGTCTGGCTGTGGCCCGTGACCTTTCCGCCAACCAACCAACGCCGTTCATCCTATCAGTAGGTACAGGCCTTAAGGAACTTCACAGAGCATGGTGGAAGAATAAGGACATTTCAATATTCAGTGTAAAACATCCAGGAAATGGAAATTAATATGCAAAAATATAGCTTTCCGTTTCGGAGGGGTGGGGGACAAGGACCGAGGGAGATACAGACAAATGCATAAGCAGGTCAGGTTTGAAAGGATCCTGCCTGGGAAACCTCAAAGTTGGGATGCTCTCCACACTGACCCCCACCCTGTCTGCTCAGAAGTCTGTGATAATAATAACCAAAGAGGGAGGAGGCCAGTGTCACAGCAAGCACAGTTCACTCAAGTTCAGCCAGACTGTACTCATGTGGAGCAAAGGGGAGGAAGTCTAGTCAAGCCCCGGTGAGTCAACATGTCGCTTCCCTCCGCCCTGCCCTCCTCCTTTCCCGAGGACACTTCACTGTGTGTCTGTGCGTTTGACCCTTCCGAGGAAGGGACTGTGGCTGGCGTGGGTGGGGCAAGTCCTAAGTGACATTAGCCCCTCAACAGCCAGGCTTGGGGAGAGGCAGGTAGAGCACGGGCCTGGGCAGTGGCGGTCAGTTATCTACATCACATCCACAGTCAGGTGCTGTCTCCCTGCTCTTTTTTCCACAGGGTGCTTGAAGTGTCCCAGCTCCCTCTTAGGCACCAGGAACTGTATGTGATTCTGGAGCAGTGTGAAGAACATCTAGAGTGCTCTTTTAGCAGTTCCTTAGGAACACCGACCCTACCTACACAAGGGTCCACTGTGCTTGCTCCTGGTTTAGAAAAGGAAAAGTGTCAGGGGAAGGTTAGATAGAGGAATGGTAATCCTTGATAGAATCTGCCTCTATGGCAAAATAGGCTGTAATGCTCCGAGCTAGCCTGGAGGTGTGGAGAAGAGGATGGGGGAGCTGGTGGATTTAAATAGCCATGGCTTATACAGAGTGGACAAATAAGGCCCCAGAAGGAAAGTTTGTTTAGCTCCTTTAGCTGCCCAGTGACAACCCTTCAGCAGATGTGTCCAGATCCCCCTGTTCAATAAGCTGGGAAGACCCAGATGATCCCCGTCCTCCTTCAAAACCCTGGTTACTGTTACTTCTGTCTTTCTGAACAAAGTGCCAGTCATATTTCTGGCTGCAGGACAAACACTAAGGATTGCAATTCCAGCTGAAGCTCTTTGATGCCTTGCTCTCCTTGAGAAGTCCAGTCAGAAAGTGACAGCAGGTAGATCCCCTCACACCCTTGGGGACTGCTGATTTTTACAGCCCTCCCCCCCCTTCACTGCTGAGTTTTACAGCTCTTTGGGAGTGCTCTAAATTTATCATCAGAAGATAAGAAGTGATAATTGCTCTCACTTTGCAGAGGTCTGGGAGGATGGTTAATTTGCCTGGGGTGGGGGGAAGGGGTTCAGCATCTCTCTGTTCCTCTCTTTATTCCACACCTCTCCTAAGCACTCACATTCCCCACGGTCTGCGAGTTGGGAGTTGGGGAAACAACGGTTAACTCCAGCCAGCCATGTAAATACTTTGGCACTGAAAAGGGAACAAAATTGTGAGAAAAGCCTGAAATGGGAGCTGGGACCAAGGAACCGGAAGCCTTGTTATCATTACTGTATGCCCGGCACAGTCTACATTTCGCATATGAACCCATATAGCCCAGAATCATATTATCCCACAAAACAAACAGTGTATAGGTAAGAAATCTGTGTTCTGCAGACACTTTGTTGTCTTAGCTTAAAATGTACCCAGTGCAAAGGTATCAAGGGAATGTTCGGCCTACAGAAAACCAGGCTGCTCAAGCCTCTAAGAAAGCTGGTTCCATGTTGCTATAGCAACTGGACCAGCCTCAGACTGAAGGGCAGAGTTCTCAAATTCATCTACTGCTTCCAACAGATTGACTTCTTCCAAGCCGAGTCATGTTTCTCCATCATCAACACTGCAAGCGTTATTTTCATTTAAAAAAAAAAAAGAGGGAGGGTTCAGTGTCAAGTTAAAACATTTAGACCTTTTCCCTAGTGCTATTCAATGTCTTTTTATCTCTAGAAAACGGAAGTTGTAATGGGATCCTTAGGATCCTATAGAACTTTCATTCATGCATCGACCAATAATATGGTTGGGACTTGCACCAGTGGGGTTTGACAGTAATTACACTTTGATGGCTGGAACATGACCTGTGAAATGAGTTACTGGTCTCCGTTTAACTCCTAATGGACAGCAAGCCACCTCCCTCAGAGTCGGAGCATAGCCCACCCCCCCTTTCCCGCCTCTGAAGTCAGAGTTTGGCATGATTTCTCTTGAGGGGAAATTGCAGAGCCTCCTTCCAAGCAATTATTCTTTGCCTTTCTGGGCCACGGGTATCTCTACAATTAGTCTCAAAATTCTCTGCGAGATGTGTGTAAATAACACAAACCATATTTATAGGCAGGGCCACCCTGGTGGAGAGCATGTTATCTGCCCTAGTGGGGTGAAGGGAAGGTAATTAGTAGCAGCAGGAAGAGAGATTCCAAACCACTGGAAAAAAAAAAAATCTTCCTTTACCTCAAGAAACACAGCCAATTAAGAAACGGCAGGGAGTAGGGATGTGTCAATATTTGCTGATTTATTATTAAAGTTCATTTTTATTTTATGGGATGTGCTGATATGTTTAGTTCTTTTTTTTTTCATTAACAAGTTTCTTGCTGTCCTTTCTCTATCAAGACTAAGAGAGAGGGTGATAAATACGTGTCATGAGAAACATGAGTTTGGACTGGAGACAGCTAGATCTGACAGCATATTGTGGAAATTTGTAAAGACATGAAAAGTTTCAGTTGACTAACGGGAAGTTTACCTAGGGGAGAAAGGTCCTACACCAGTGGTTCTCAACTTTCCTAATGCTGTGACCCTTTAATACAGTTCCTCATGTTGTGATGACCCCAACCATAAAATTATTTTCATTGCTACTTCATAACTGTAATTTTGATATGAATTTTGTTACTTGCTATGAAATTTGTTATGAATCATAATGTAAATATCTGATATGCAGGATATGTGATATTTGACCCCCCAGGATGGGGCCCTTTGACCCCACAAGGGATTGTGACCCACAGGTTGAGATCCCCTGACCTACACTGTGGAAGACCAGTGCTAGATGGTGATGCACACAAGAAAAACAACACTTAAGTGCCATCCTCACTAGCCCACATTCCCAGTAGAATACAGTAATGTGTTGTGCTCTCTAGGTATAGTGGGACCTGCGGCAGGGAGAAATCTATTCTGCTCTACTGTGAAGCAGTCAAGTGTTTCCTCAGGAATCTGACCTGGGCTTTATAGGATGGGTGGGAATTCCCAGGCAGATATTGAAGAAAGGGTGTTAAGAACCAGAAGTAACGCAAAGACATTGCAACTTAGGACAATCGTATTGAACAGCGTGGCCTGAAGTTTACAATAATTCTTGGAGAAAGTTGGAGCTGCGGCTGAAAGAGTCCGTGGAGTCTCTTCAGCGGGCTCTGAGCAGTGAGTCGAGAACTTTGGAAATTTTGCCACACTGGAATCAAAAGCCAGAAACTTCAGCATGCTATTTTCTAGGCAACGAGATTAGAGTCTTCTGCTCTGACCTAAGTCCTTGAAAGATCCCTTTACAGATAACGCAGAAATCTTCTGAATTTCTGTCAACATGCATCTATGAATTCTTTGGACATGTGGTAAGTGGTGTTGTAATGTGTCCTGCGCAAGGTTAAATGCGTTTGCAAAGACTGCAGCCTGAAGCAGCCCTGTGAAGATGCTGGCTCAGGGATTTCAGTGACACCCATTACATTTAGTTGCTGGAGGCACTTTTGAGGCAGGGAAAGGGCTCCTCACTGCAGGAACACCTCCACAGCCTGAAATCTGTCTTCTGTCCCACAGGAGCAGCAATGGAAACCTGTCTACTGCAGCCTCGCTGCCACGTGCCTCGCGGGCCCTCTGATTGAGAAGCCAGGAGGGAAAGTAAGACTGTTTTCTTGTCTTGTTGAATGGTGCAACGTGGGCAAAATGGTCTTTATTTCTTTTGGTCTTGAGGTATTGGGGGAATTGATCAAATCCATTTCATAAGCGTAGTTGTTAAAAATCCTGCACTGGAACTCTTTGGTTGCTACTAGTAAGACTTGCCCTTGGCAAAATGTTGGTCCTGACAAACACTGCTTGGAGTGGCCCAGGCCTCAGCATCTGCCTCCCCTTCCATCCCAGTGAAGCCTCCTCACCTCCTTCAGTCTCCTGAGCTTCCCAGTCCATCAGGACCTCTTAGAAAGATGAGGGTACATTTACAGTCACAAGGTCTTGGTGTGGTGTTCAGAAACAATTCCTTGTGTTAAAATATGTGTCACTTAAGCCATGGTGTAGCATAAAGATATTGCCTCTAAAAGGTGTGTATGTCATAAGCTGTGGTTCTGGCCTTGGAATCAGACTCATCCAGGGGTAGATGCAATGGGAAGACTGGGGGCTTTCTGGAGTTGTACTGGTTGGGTTCAAATCCAAGCTTTAGCCTCCACTAGCTCTAGATTTTGAGCAAGTTCCTGTTAAAAGAGACATCAGATACCAGGCCTGCTTTGTGGAGCCATCACAAAGGTGAAATATTAATACAAATCCGCAAAGCCAGAGTTTCTTTAAACTTGTCTTGTTTTCCCTCTATCCAAGTATGGGATGGGTTATGCCAATGAAGTGACCAAACAAAATGAAAAGATAAATAGTAAGTGTGGACGAACCACATCTCCAAATGGCGTAACTGGAGGAACTGGAAGACAGCAATACACTTTAGAAAGGTGAAGTGAGCCAGGCGGTGATGGCGCACGCCTTTAATCCCAGCATGCAGGAGACAAAGGGAAGTGGATCTCAGTGAGTTCGAGACCAGCCTGGTCTACAGAGTGAGTTCCAGGACAGCCAGGACTATTACACAGAGAAACATTTTCTGGAAACAACAAACAAACAAACAAAAACCAGAAAAACAAACCCACAACAACAACAACAAAAAAAAAAAGGAAGAAAGAGAGAAAGGTGGAGAGCACTCTACCGAGTCGTGGGCATTTTCCAGGCATAACGTCACACAAGGGGAGTGATGCCCTGGTTCCCACAGCCTTGCTGTCTTTAGCTGTTGAGATGCGTCTACACACTGCACACAATCCAATGCCTAGAATGAAGCATAGTCTCTGGAGAAGAAAAAAATATATACATAACAGTTCTTGAAATGGCATCTTTCAGAGATGCATATGGGCAGAGCCAGTTCTTAAACATTTTATAACAAAATAGGTCTCTATCCCTGCAAGCTCGCGGTGACTTTGCCCGAGCATGCGCATCTGAGCCTGGGGTCGTCTCTAGTGTGAAATCCCGATGAGGAAGCCCGCCTCTGACTGTTTGGTCAGCGGTCTTGACATCGAGCAGACGTGGCAGGGAACCTGCCCAGCTTCCTGAGACTGTGTTTGCTCAGTGTTCCGTGAGGTCTGAACTTCCCCCCTCTGCTGACTTCAGTTCAGTGAGAGGAGTTTCGTTTGTCCCAAAGATGAAACCAGCCAACAGACAAACACTGCTCGGATGTCACAAAACGTGTTGGCAACCATTTCGGTGGCCATTTCTTCACTCAGCTGCTGTCCCCTCCAGTCCGTAGACTCTTAATAAACAACCGCTTAGCCTGAGGAGTGGGGCCTAGGCGAGCCACCAGAAGTTCATGTACCTCAAAGAGGTCTCTCCTGACTATCCGGAAGGGGCTCAAGCCCTGTCTGGCACTCTGGGTTCAGTGATGTGGTTTCTCTGTGTGGACCTCACGTTTTTCCTCACCTGCTATTCAGTGAGCAGGTAGATTTCTGTGTTTTCTCAAAACCGTTGGGTTGAGATGGACCCTAAAGGACATATTTGTTCTCCCTTTTCTCATGGCCCTGGCTTCTGGGCTTGATACAGTTGGTGTAAACTACTCCAGTAAATTTGCTTCTCAATCACTGTGATGTCCATGTACCTGGTGGGGGTGCAGCGGGGAGATATAGGACCCTGAAAGCATAAGCAGAGTTCAGCCTTCAGGAGCCAACCTGATGGCTAATCTGCTCAGAATCCAGCCTGCCTTCCTCACTACAAAAATCTTTCCTGTGGGTGGAAGACTGAAAACCAGACCTCGAATGAAGTCCAACCACCCAAACGAAGCCGTCTCAACTGAATTCAGGACCAGTGTTTCCTTGCTGGAGAGAAAGTAGGGTCTTACAAAGATCCCAGCTACACAGAGAATTCCAGTGTGAGTTCATAACAGAAAAAAGAATATCTGGGAGCCAACTCTAACAAAACAGCGGAAGGATAACTCTTTTCCTTAATGACTGTGGTTGGAGTAAAGCAAGGACACTTTTGGATCCTGGCTGGGAAAGAGAAGCCAGGAAAATCGTTGTAGGCAGCAGGCAAGCGAGCCAAGAGAGTATGTGAGTGTTCTTCTGCAGATCAAGGGGAGCTGGGTGTTTAAATTTTCCATAATTAGAGTCAGTGCCTTTTGGGTGGAACACTCAAAGTTAGGGAAATGGGAATGCAAATGTTAAAAATATGCATCTCGGGGTTTCCTGGGAATAGCCTCGCAGCCTTGTTTTCCTTCTTTGCAGCTGCTTGGGGATCCTGTTGTGAAAGCTGGGGCTGAACTCAGCGCGGCAGATCCCACAGTGTTACAACCAGGGGACTTTCCTGGGTAACCTGCTCTCTCGAGGTTGAACAGAGCAGAGTACTTAAGAATAGTTGATGGTAAACGTGCTATTCCTCAAAGGTTGTTCAGATTACAGCAAATGCACACACACACACACACACACACACACACACACACACACACACGTATGAAAAGATTTTTGGCTTTAAATAAATTAATTAGAGATGGAAAGCAGATTGTTCAACAGGAATTAGACAGTGATGGCAGAGATACAAGGACCCAGCGGTAGGTAGCATTAAGGGGTGGGGGCATGAAACTCCACTCCCCAGATCTTTGAAAATTCCTTCTAGTGATTCTAGAAGTCATTGTGCAAATGCCTTGGACGCCACAACCCTCACAGGCCTTGGGACACGAAAGCAGACAGAGCCATTTGGATTAAGGACTGCCCATGACCATGGCGAGGCCAACCTGCCTTTCTCAAAGGAGTTCAGGTGATAGGTAGACATGTCTTGGCTCCCAAGAGACCTCCCTTGAAGACACAATTTGATGGGGGAGGAGAAAAAAAGAGGTTGAGCGCGAAGGGGAGAGTGGTGTTATTAAATGGAAGGGCGGATAAGAAAGTAAACATGCTCCCTGGGCCTTTTGTGCTTCGGGGTGAGTGGAGGGGAAACTGAAGGAGCCAGGTGGAAGTGACTGGATAAACAGCAGATAAAAAGAGAGGGACGCGGGACAGCAGAGCCAACAGTGCTGCTTCATGTCAAAGCTTGGCGTCTGTGGGAAGAAAGAATAGGGGTGTCCTTTTCACAGATAAAATTGTTCTTACTAAAGGACATTTAGCCTCGTAAATGAGGGGCGTGGTCTTCTATGGCAAACCCTTTCCTAATCGTGATCTGTTGCCCAGGTCCGGGTGAACGGCACCCATTCTTTAAGTGCTGCAGAATTTTACATTTATTACTTAGGAGTTTTCAATGACCCAAACAATTGGAGGTGCCAACCCCAAAACCAGTCTGCGCTCTACTACTGCTTAAACAAAAACTACTTACAGGCGTGGTAGTTCTTAGGGGAGCCAGCCATTCGATAGCTATTGTTGTAGAGGATCCTAACGTCTCTATATAAGAATGCCTGATTTTCTTTTTTATGCATCTGGCTTCTGGTCACTGAGGCAAAATGAATTAAGCCAAATATTTGTCTTCTGGGAGTTTCTGTGACAAGAAGGAAATCTTCAAGTTACCAGGTCTGTTTTCTTCTGCCTCTAAAATAATGGAGGTTTTAGTTGGGCATATGTCCAAGAGTACATTCTTAGCAGCATTTAGACATGGCTGTGCCTAGATTACGACCAGTGGGAAGTGAATGGAAACAATGTTTGCAAGTCTTGTCCCTGTTGCTGGGTGTGCCTTATGGATGAGGCAACCAAAGCTGGAATTGCTACACTGGACTGAGATAGGATAGCAGAGGAGCCACATTGGAGACCTAGGACCTCCGACTCTGTGGAGTCTGTACCTGCTTATACTCGCTTAAGACAGACATTGCCTTCCATCTTTTTGGCACCTCTGCTCTTTGGGAGCTGGTCTTGTTGCTGCCATGGTGTGGTATCCACATCAGTAGTTACCTAGAGCAGAGGAGAAAGGAGCTGCCTGCACTATGGAGACATTCGGAGTCCAGTGCCGGCCAAGCAAGTACAATGCCTGAGAGGTAAAGGAATGAAGAAACTGAGTTGTGACCATCTACCGCCTAAACCCAGCCTGGGTGGGGACAGAGAGGTAGAGAGGCTAACATTGACCTCTGAGAAAGGGCGATGAGGAAGACCGTGTCTTTAAGCACTGAAGGGAATAAACCTGAGTATCTGGATTCAAAGACATTCCCAGAACTGAGGCCAGTAAAACTTATTTGAAAATATGCAAGAACTGTAGTAGATAAATGGGCACAGGGTCCAACTGTGATCTAAATACATATGTTTCAGGGCTAATGAGATGACCCAGTGGATAAAAGCACATGTCACCACACCTGAGGATCTGGGTTTGATCCCCAGGATCTACATGGTGGAAGGACAGAGAGGACTGACTTTTGCAAGTTGTCCTGTGACCTTCACGTGTACACCGCATGTGCGTGCACATGTGTACATATGCACAGAAGGAACAAGCAGGTATATTTCATGTTTTGAGTGCTTATGTTTACACACATAGATTAATGCTGACTTTAGTCTTTAGCAGAGACTTTGCTCTTTTTCTGCTGTGGTTAACGTACAGACTCACAAGGAGAGGAGAATGAGTGGCAGGAGATGCCTGATCCTAAAGGGGACATCACCCCTCCAAGGTCAGGGATCATCTAGAAGAGGAGACATGGA